TAGTAAAAGTGTTGGATAGTTGGTAATATGTTTGGGTATATTGTAAACATAAATCATACGAAACATCTCACATTTCTTTGACTAAAATTACGTAATTACTTATTACGTCCCATTATTCATACTAAAGAGTACACGGGAGACAATTTCTTCTAGTTATATTACTAGCCGTGCAAATAATCTGATAACATATACAGGAACCCCATAAGTATGTCTAAATTGAAAAATCAATATATTAACATAAAATAACAAGTTGTAAGGAAAACTTGATTGTTTCTTTAGGTTATATGTATTTTTTTCTTAATAATTTGTGTATTTTTAAAGACAGAAAAACTATAATGAGTTTGTTTGCACTTTTTAAAGACACGCGAATAAGTCATTTCGAACTGTCTATAAAACCCCCCCAAATAAAGCGTACTTTACTTACTTATTTGCAAAAAATGCAAAAAAAAAATAAAATATAATAAATAAAGAAGATGACGTTTAATTGCCAGAACAAATCACCTGTTGTAATGACGTTAACACTGATGTAGACACAAATCATTATTCCTGATATTTATATTGTGTGTATTGTTTGTTACTTGTGTTATGGATACACTTAATGCGTATGGGATGGTATGTGTGACATGATACACATAATGTAGAGCAAGTTGATACATCTTATATAATTGTAGACCAATGTGTCGGATGCTGCTGAAAATGTAGGCGGATGTGTAAGATTCTATTAAAATGTAGGCCTATTTGTCGGTCTTACTGTAGGTCTTATCTATCTGGATTGATACCATCTGTTTGACAACATATGACCCTCTAATAAGTTCACATTTGATATACAACTGTGTGTATGCAGGGATATTTAAACATGTTTTCGGTCGTTGACTGACTACATCACGTTCTAAAATCATTTTTATTGATTGTGTGAACCTGATGTTAAAAAAAAATAGTTTCAATTTATCGGCTATGTCCGCAGTTGGTGCAGCCAAACCTTACCAATTACATAACCAATAAAAAATGAATTGTAGTTTTATAAGTGTCAAGTGCTTTGAACACATAAGATATGACACTAGATGATTTATACAGTTAATCAATAGCAAACACACAGGTTATAACATCTGTTTGACCATATATCTGGACATCTCCCGAAGAGGCCTTGCGACTTATTAATGTCATACATGCTAATTTTAATCATTAAAATACTTTCAACGAGTACAGAAAATAATAATGTGTAACAAGTACAGAGAAGTATACTGTGTTAGCCCCGCCGCTTACACCCCCTACCATACACACGCGCAAGGGGTTGTATACGTTGCATGCCCTTTTGGTTGGTTTTCATACTTTGACGTTTAAAAATGAAACCTACTAATTTTTCTCTCCGCGACTATCTTGTATATTTAATATTTAGGCGTAATACTAAACACGATCGAAAATAATAAAGCCATCTCAGTAATAAGTTATGAGCAGTCTATTACATTTTAGTGGACGTCGGCAACAAGGGGATGGAGGGGGGGGGGGGGTCCGTCGAAAGTGGACACGTGTGGACGGGGTTGGGGCGAAAATCCGATATGTTTGTGGACGTTATAAATGGATGACGCCTTAAGCAAATCATTAAAATATTTAGATATTTGGACAAAGTACACGTGGTCTAAGTCTTGATGTGGTCAAACTTCAGCGTACCATATTATCATGTTTATTTGATGTACATGTGATTTAGGCCCCGATAAGTGAGTACAAGTACATGTCCAAAGTTCGTTTTTTGCTGAACGTCTATGTTAAAATCAACAATAATAAAACATTAACTTAAAAACAAATACGTGTCCGTATCATTTTTTCTATAAGCAAACAATTACATAACAGATTTGTTCAAGACGGAGCTGAGTACATGTCTGGACATTCCCCACAGTTGACTGTGGTTGAGGTCGGGACATCTGAGTAGGATCGTACATTTTGCTGCTATAGAAGCTGCTCTCACCATCTGTTAGAAGGATTAGTTGCAATGTAACAACCATGAACAACACTGCTAAAGAATATGAACCACTTTAACCTATACTGCCATACTCACAAAAAATATATAATAAGCAGAAAAATCAGATAGGTCCCACCCTCAATTAGTTACAAAAGTTTATTTGAAACTCTTCAAATATTCAGCCCATCTTTAGGCAATGATATCTCATATTTACCAGAGGAAATACACAGCTAATATAAGATTAGGTGATCTTAATGAAAATTAATTTGATATTGCATTTTGAACGAGTATATCACAATTACTTCCCATTACATTTTTGACTGACTAACGGGAAGCGACTCACAAATATAAAAAAAACGATTCACAAATAATGAAATTAATTTACAAAGAACAAAAAAAAAATAGAAAATAATGCCCACAAATTAATTAAGATCTAATAAAACAAATTAAAACTATTATTAAATGCCTAAAAAAGTTTATCTTCAATGTTTTATTAATGTTATTGATGCATTTAGAAAACGAACAACATGTGCTTATTTTATGTTACTTTCTGAGACAAGCAAATTATGTAGTCTTTTTTCATAGTGTGCTTTAATGCCTGAAAATAATAATTTTCCTTTAAATAGCTAGCTGTTATTAAATGATGTTTATGCGTATAATTTCAAATATTATGACGCTGTTGCATTTAGCCATATACAAGTGAATGAGAAATATAATGTGTCTTCTTAACTCAGTTGAAAAGAACAGATATTTCATTTAACTTAGGTAATGCTAACCGAAAGACATCGGTTGTTTTTTTAGATAAATCAAGATACATGGATAGATGGAGGTGGATATTTATCTATGGCCACTAGGGGACTGTCTGTTGTGTGATCCATACATTGACCTGTGCATTCAGCGGCATGGTGTAGCGTCGCTAACAACCTTACACACACGGGAAAAAAAATACTCCTTTCTGAGCCGGTCAATATATTTTAACATTTGATAAACATGAACTACAATAAAAATATAAAAAAAAAAAACTACACAACAATATTAAGTTCATTATTTATCAAAAGTATTCAGGTGTAGACAAATAGTACTTATCGATTCACAAAAACTCATTTAGAAGCTGCTCTTAATTAAGTATTTAGTGAAACCCAGGAAATGTTTTCCTATGGTGGGTTCCTCATCCGGATTTTATTTATTTATTTATTCTTTGGATTCAATTTCTCGTTTATTATCCATACATGGTGGCAACTTATTGCATTGGCGTATCATGCTTTAAACAATTAAAACTAAAACAACGAAGTATTTTATTATAAACTAAGCTTTCACGTATCTAAACATAAACTGTATCCATTAATTTAATTAATCGGTTTTAAAAAGTTTTACCTCAAAGAAAAAAAAAGTTTTTTTTTCTTCTTTTAATCGAACGATCGCTCGACGTATTCAGGCTCTTTTTTCAGCAGCTTCAACAAAAATAGACAAAGTACAATATCAAAGATCACGTTGACTTCAGCAGTAGCACCGTGTTACTGGTAAAACTCACTCCGTACATCCGAGTTGTTCACTATTTGGTTATACATGATTGTCATACAGTACAAAATACCTATAACAAAAAAAAACAACCAAAAAACAACATTACATTAAATATTACCACTGATAAGATACATTTACAATATATCAAAATATAGCATCATAAATCATTTTTTTTTTACTATTTGCACATGATAATGCAAACGTACACATACATATCACTAAATGATATGGCTTAAGAATAAAATAACTAAATATTAGCAGTACATAAGGCCAACTGTTACTCACTCACTTGAACATCCCTCGCTTAATTCACTGCTCTGATTGAATGATCACGGTACACGTTTTATCATCTTCTGTACCCATTCATTTCACTGACTTTACTTATATTTAATGTAATCTTTGATGTGTGTATAGTTTGATACACTGTAGTTTTGTTTTAATTTTACCCATAGAGATGTATACTTACCAATCACAGGGAGGAAAATAAACAATCACCTAATCAGAGATATCATTCAGTATACACACGAAAAAACACCCCAGCATGCATACTTAGCTTAGACTAGGAGAAAACTTTCCACCGAGTAGCGCACACATATCTTCACACAATTCTGAAAAAAAAAAATTTGGATAAAAATCATATTTTACAACACACACAGCCACCTACTGATAGATCATAAAATTAATTGCACAATTCCCCCCCCCCCCCCCCACCATCTCAAACACTTTTACATACTAGCATTAGAACTCATCTTAGAAAGCATTAGGTACAATAAATAAATCCGAGCAATAGACATACCAAACTTATCGAACACAACAATTTTAGCCTACCCAGACGGTACTGCCTTTACTATCAAAACAAAAACAATACAAGTCCTTAATATTGTCCTGTCATTACAATGTCAGTAGCTTGTAAATCTAGTTATATTATGTAATTTGGTTTTAGCGTCTCAAAATACCAATTAATGTTATCATTTTTTTTTTTATTTTAATCATTAGGGGTTGGCGCAGGTAAAAAAAAAAAAATAATAAAAATAAACTGTTTTAATACTCGTTAGAAAAAAAAATAAAGTACAGCTTTTTAAGGCATTTCCACTAAAAAAATTGATGAGCAAATCCTGGTAACTATGACAACGGCTATCATATTGAAACATTAACCTCTTCGTAGATTTTCCAACATTCATCAAATGTTATATTTTAAGCCCAATAAACAATGAATTCACAATGAATGGCGTCCTCAGCTTAAAAAAAAAAATTATGTTGTACATTGTGCATAACTCCTGCGTTTTTCTTCCTTTGATTTATCAACTTCTGGTGGGGTTGAAGTGAAATTCTTGCCTCTACGACCAGGTCTTGAGGTGATATTTCTTTGATGTAATCCCTAAATGTGAGCTCTCGCTATCAATTGCCTATATTCAAGTTTGGTTTTGCATTGTGCCAGTATTGAATACTTGTCACATGTATGTATAAATGGCCTTTTGACTTGAAATCTTTATCTTGGCATCACATTATCAATGTATGAAACATGGAGATCAGGTTCAGTGGACCATGTAGTCTTCACAGTTTAGAAGTACATGGTATCCGTGAGTTTAAAAAATAATCCCTACTGTGGCATGTACCGTTTACTATGATCGATAATTAGAGTTACCAAGCACTCAAAATAACAAGGATTTAATTGCCTAAAAAGATTGTGATCTTCTTTTCAATCAACATATATTGTCCATTTTCCATAACCACAGTCAATTTTAATTTGAAACTGTGTTTTCAGAAGCCGCTAGTTAAAGATAATATCTTGATCCAGTCTGTTTTTTTTTTTTTAATTATCTCAAGGACGTTTGGTTGCTGATGTTTTGGGCAAGTCTAGTTCTATTGATGATAATGAAAAAACATAACATGTTTTGATACGAAATTATAATTTGGTTATCTATGTAAAAAGTACAGTTATACATTAACATTTGTCCAAAGAAAGTTAGATAAAAACACTGCCACAAACACAATACTTAGAGTTTTTAAACAGCTAGGAGAACGTTGAAGTTGATGCTCTCTAAAATGTATCATGTTCATGTTCACCTTCCTACATCATATACAGATCAGAGCCAACAGATGGGGGAAGTGATCAACAAAGTATTTTACGACCCCCACCTTTCACGTGCTATTCTCGTAGTTTTTGATGCAAGCAACATGGCTGGGTTTCCAAGTATTTTTAAACTTCTATTTTATAAAATCACGAAAGCGAGTTGACCGAGAGGATGTTGTTAATGTAACAGGACATGAATATGTGCACTTTGAAATTAGTTAGAAAATGTAATGCTTAATGGGAATGTAAGGGATCATCAATTTATGACGTCCACCCAGGGGTCTGAAAAAAAAAATGACTTTTGCGAATTAAGTGGACTTTTGTGGACTTATGGGGGGGGGGGGGTGTTCAAAATTTTTAAAAAGTGTGGACGTCATAAACGGATGACCCTTAAAGAGATTTACGTACCTGAAGGCTTTATTTATTTGATGATTTAATACCTTAACAATACACATATGTTCCGTGTTTGATGTCATGGGATTGTGTGATTTTCTACGGATACAAGCTATTTTATAACAATACTTGTAACATATATTTTTGAAGTAAATTAGAGCAGCAGAACAAGTCAAAGGTTGCCTAAAAGTATTAGAAAAAATTCGAACTGGCAATTTGGTACAAGGACAATATTAAAAAAACTACATTTTATTGCAAGTTTTTAAAAATGTTAAATACAAATATAAGGCTTTCAATGTTTGCAATTACAAAAAGTTTAAATAATTAATCCAATTATAATTTTCAAAATGTTCAGGTTTGGCATAAATCTATTATAATCAATGAATTATAACCTTTGTTTTTTTTTAAATTAAAATTTGATTAATTACACGATTTCCTATATTTTATTCGGCTTGATAATTGTTGCAGATTTGCATTGTCTCCCTTGAAAACATAAAATATTGCATGAAACAGAGGGAGGTAATTACTATTGGTAAATAAACATATTTATTGGTAAAATCAAAGCTATAATAACATTTAAGTTCAACTAAAATTATGAGAAAAGTAAGTGCTTACATAAGAAAAGAAGTAAATGACTGTCAGAAATTAAAAACAGAACATGCAACAGTCGTGGGGTTAGAACTGTTTCATCATTTTTTTCTCACTGTTACTTTCAAAAAATGTTCACAAATTTTGGCTGTTACGATGGATTTAAATATAAAAATTTGATGGAGGTACAACATCCATAGTTCGCCCCGGGCGTTGAAATATGTAGCTACGGTTCTGATTAGAACTCTAGACTTTCGGGGTTAGCAGTCGTATGTTCTATCATCCGACTACTCCGTCACCTTGCCATGTATCTATATATATATATAGCAATGTATGTCTGTTTGTTTGTCCTTTATGCATTACTACACCTCTCATTACAACGCCGTGAAACTTTGGGAAGTTGTTGAGAATATTCCTGGGGAGGTTTCTGCGAAAAAAAAATATTCGAATTCGCAGGGGTGGCGCACCGGCAGGGCGCGATTTGTTTTTCTCTATATACGGTATATAAAAATAAAAGTCGATTTTGGTTTGACACCATTCATCTGATCGCTATCAAACTTGTGAGTTCATTAGAAATCTTTAAAGAAGGGTTCTGTAAAATCATTTTTAATTTCACAAGGGCGGCGCCACGGGAGGGTGCGATTTTTCTCTATATACCGTATATAAAAATTATAAAAGTGAATTGCCGTGACACCGTTCATACGATCGCCATGAAACTTTGGGAAGATGTTGAGAATATTCCTGGAAAGGTTTGTGCGCTAAAAACATTTTTAAATTCGCAGGGGTGGCGCCCCGGCAGGGCGATGCTGTTTTTCTCTATACATGTTTTATAAAAATAAAAGTCTATTTCGGTTTCACGCCGTTCATTCGTGTACCATGAAACTTTTGTGCTTTTTTTTTTTTTGTTTATTGTATTGTTGGTCAATAAATTTAGACAAATAATAGTACAATAATACATAACTTAAGCCTTTAGAGTACAACTATAAATGGTAAATATAGTTATTGTAAACATTACTCTAACAATCATAGAAAACGTACTCAACATTCGTTAACGATCTAATGAGGTTATATCATAATCAGTGAAATAATGTGGTCTGTTTAAACATGGAACAGTGCGGACTGTTTACAGTAACAAAAACAACAGCTGCTTCTTTATGGAAACCTGACAGTTGTTTGAGTGGTTGTGCTTGACATCACATCTAAAGATATCTTCCCGCTACACCCACTAGTTAGTTTTGGCATTGTTAAGATACCATTAGAGCTGGGACTGGAAATACATACGGGATTTAAATAAACATAAATCAATCAATAGGATGACAGCAATGTATCGATACATTGCCGTAGGTACAGTTGACACATACTGATCGGACTGAGTCTTAGGTTGTCTGTTGAGGTGTGTTTACGTGTCGTTGGTTGCATAGGCCTGGTTACATGCATGTTTTCCAAGGTCGGGTTAAATTAATGGTTCATTAGGTCGGGTAACATTACTGTTTTAATGGCGTCACAAGGTCCGGTTACATTAATATTTAGTGGCGTCACTAGGTCGGGTTACAACTCCGGTTAATTCGGGGTCTTACGACTTAAACGAATTGGGTATTCCTAAAAATCTCACACCCAGTGATGTATCTAACTTTAATCTTATTATTGATCATGTAATTGGTAATAAAAAACGACCAAGAGCTGATGTCACCATTCCGATCGGAGGAATCCCTCAAATGCCCTTGTCACGCGAGGAACTTTTCATCCGTGGAATATTTGACAGCTGTGCTTTTAAATCCACTGCAAGTTGCGTTGTTGGGTTTGCATTGGGTGCAGCATTTGGTTTGTTTACCGCTGGTGTTGATCCAATGTCAACTATGTCTACTGAGACACCAACAACTCGCATGGTGCTGAGAGAAATGAAAGCTCGATCCTTATCTTACGGCAAAAAATTTGCACTGGTTGGAGCAATGTTTGCTGGGACAGAGTGCCTGGTTGAGTCTTACAGAGGAAAAACTGAACTTATCAATGGAACAGCCTCAGGAGCTATTGTTGGTGGTGTGCTTGGATTAAGAGCTGGTCTGAAGGCAGGTATTTTTGGTGCTGTGGGGTTTGCAATATTTTCTACTGCCATTGACTACTATATGAGACATTTGTAACATTTTAAGATTTTAGTTTTATGAACATGTGATGTATATACAAACAAGAGTTGTAGAAATCAAATGTAAAGACAGTGTAAATATTATTTAAAATTTGAACAATAAAAGAATCTACTATGAAAAAAAAAAAAAAAATATGAGTAAACATATCAAATTTAAAGACGATGTTGGGTTGATAGACGACTATTGTTCCTTGAAAAAAGATGACCATTGGTTGTCATAACAACTCAATTGTTGTAAGGACGCTGACGTTGATCTATTTCTATATACACATTATTATTTCGGATATGTACACTACATATATAAATTGTGACTGGTAATACAAATTTAAATGGTATTTTATGTGTGACATTATACGTAAGTGTAAGGTGCTTTATGTCATGATATTTAAATGAAGACCGATGTGTGGCACGTTATATTATTGCAGGCTAATATGTCGGGCGTTACTTAACCTGGATCGCCTTTTCTTAATTGTATGTAGCTTGGCATAAAGTGTAAAATCAAACTCAAGTACAATTCAAAACATGCTATAATATTTCTTTATTTGCATACAATTAATATTCTAAACTCCTGTACCTTACTATACTCTACTTTGACTGTCTCGCCAATCTCCTAATACTTTTCGGTCTAATCTGACTGCAGCCGCTGTCTACACATAACTCCACCACATGACTGGACATCTCTGTCATCGATTTGAAGCTCATACATGCAGGTGATTCCAGTCTGATTCTTCTACATTCGTTTAGTATTTATTTAGAATGGACTGCTGCTTTTGAATTCATGATTTAAATAAAACTAAAGCAATCAATACCTTGATAGCTTGGAATCGAAACACTGCCGTAGGTACAGTTTACACGTTCTGATCGGACTGAGTCTCAGGTTGTCTGTTGAGGTGTGTTTACGTGTCGTTGGTTGGATTGGTTTGACCAGTGGTCTGTGGTCGTGCAGTTCTGATATGTTTGTTGTCGAAATGAAATTGCAACTAGATTGTGTCTTAGTAGAAATATTGTGCCAACAATCTGCGAAAGACTTGTAAGATGTGTTGGTATAATGTAAACATAACCCATGCAACAGTATCACAGTTTGATGTTTGAATAAAGCAATCAACCTCTCGACTTCGACATATTCTGTCTGTTTAACTTCGAACATTGTGTTTATATTAAGCACATGCATAATCCGCTCACAACTGTAAGGTAATATAACATGAATGAAAATATTATATTTAGTTAATGTTATATTTGATGTAATGTTTATATACACTGTAGCTAATAATGTAACTTAAAAAACAAACAATTTAGTGTTATCTTTTTAAAATAAAGATACAGTTTACTAATTACTTCCAATTTTCACTTCCTATATTGTAATAAAGACGAATTCCGTAACGTTTATATCACTAGCTATGTAAATAATTTAAAATAAATAAAAACCTAACAAACAATAAAGTCAGACATGTAGAGTAAATACATATTTTAAAATAACAAGGTGTAAGAAAATATAAATAGGTTTAGGTAATATTTGCTTTGTTTTTGAACATTTTTATGTTTGCAAATTATGGAAAACTTTATCCAGTTTTCGAAAACATACGAATTAGCCGGTTTAAACAAAACAAATGGTTCTCTACTCTATCTGAATAATAACTTTATTTTTTTTAAAATGAAATGTTTATCTGAAGTTAAGCAACTACACACATCGGGTTCAATGGACAATACTGAGAATAGTCTAAAGGTATTCGAGAGGCCCATTAAATATAATAAACCGGGAGTGATCTCCCCTAAACTTTCTCGAATATTTTTATATAAAATAACAGGGGATGGGAACTCGGGTTATAGACATGATTTTTAATCCATTTTAAATACTTAAAGTTTTAAAATAGAATAAAATCTCGTAGACAAAAGAATTGCACACCAAGTGAACGCTAAATAAAAAAGTGCATAATTGTGCGCAATATTATTAGTACTGTAAAAATTTACATTAGTTTTTTGAGAAATCGGAAGTAGCGTAAATTACTAATTCCGCTTAACGGAATTGACTCAAAATTTAACAGAAGGTAGAGAAATAGATCTTTTACTTACATGTGAAATTTCGTTTATCTATCTGAAATAGTACTCAAGTTATAGGCTTTTGAAAATTTCAAAGTAGGAAAAGTACTACTTCCGGTTATGGGAAATCGCTCAAAAGTTGATACGGATCTACGATTTTGATAAAATACGTATATATGACATTTCATCAACCTAGCTGTAACGGTACTCAAGTTATCGTGTTTACACACACACAGACAGACAGACACACAGACAGACACACAAACATACGGACAAGATTGCAAAAGTATGTTTTTCCGTATCAGTGAGATGTAAAACGTCGAGATTTGTAAAAATCTCGATTTTTTTTTTGCACGATTACAATACTTTCTCTATACTTCGTATATACGAGAAAGTAAAAATCATGGATGGTGTAATTAAATATTAATACGTTTATACAACCCATACAATGTTATTAGGCGCCGCTTTAAGATTTAAACATCATCAAAAGTCACAAAAATCCTAAAAAACATCCAACGCTATTTCGTTCAAATGGCTGGGAAAAAAAATATACGTGCAACCATTTTTGAATATAAAATGGTGTGGCTGTAAGTATAGTGAGTGTATTTATCAGCAAATTACTTTTGTTGGCAAGTGCAAGGAGGCGGCAGCAAAGATAGCAGATAGTGGGTAGATAGGACATACTATATGGGGATACGTTGTTGTATATGGCGGTAGATACGTATTAAGACATGATCTGTTTTATTTGGGGGGATGTGCTTTTTTTTTAAGGTGAGAGGGGGTGGGGCGAAATATACATGCTAGACTAAAGTGTTGATTTGAAACAAACTGACTGATCCACTCCAACAACCTGATTTGATTAGTTAAAAACTGGTAGGCCAACATGCAGTTACGTTTGATGGATGATTAACTAGTGACCCGTGAAGACAACTGCACTCCGAAAACAAAATAAAAGACATGTTGTTGGGACGCTAACATTTCGCACATATAGAATTAAACATGGAAGATAGTTACACTACAGTTACATTTCAATGTATCTGATACACAACGCTGTAATTAAAATGATGATAATTGTTTACGGAGCCTAATTAGCACATGATTACCACGTGATGACGAACTTAATAACACTAAATATGCGGTGCCACAATTGATGCAGATGGTGTCGCAAAGGTCACTTCAAATAAACACATTATTTTGAAATCGATACAATAAATTAGAGCAACATTGCATTAAAGTTCATGATAATACATATTTTACTATTGGAAACAAATTTAGTATTTCAATAAAACTGATTTTGAAACATCAGTTATTGTTACACAAAAACCAATATCATAATTTTATAACGTTTGAATTTACTAACATATTTGCCATCATGTAAACTATTGCATAACTTATTCAAATTAATCACCTTATGTTACATCGTAACTAAAAAAAATATATCTAGCATTAAAACGACAACTCAACTGTTTCCTTTATTACTTAGTAAGTTTAAATTTGTGTCGGCTTAGAAGACATTTAGTAAGGGAATTGAAATAGATCAATTCATTGCTTCCCCTCGTGTTCGTTACACAACTTCAATCAGTTATCACATTGATATATTCACTCACAGTAGATCACAGGGCACCCACAGTAGATTACAAGTCACTCACATATTTTTTTTTTATAAATAAACCGCAGTGGATCACAAGAAACACACAGTAAACAGCACATCATCAACAATAGATCACATGACACCCGCAGCAACTAAACAGGCCAAAAAGACAATCACTAGAGACTAGCGGTAGCCCACAAGTCACCAGCAGTAGTCCACAGGTCACCAGCAGTAGCCCACAGGTCACCAGCGGTAGCCCACAAGTCACCAGCAGTAGCCTAAGGGTCACCAGCTGTAGCCCACAGGTCACCAGCAGTAGTCCATGGGTCACCAGCAGTAGCCAACGGATCAGCTGTTCTAGTTAATTAGAAATACAATGTGTCCTTTTAGTATTTACTCAGTTAAAAAGAAAAGAGATACTATTTAACAAAGGTAATGCTAACCAAGGGACATCGTTTTTTGTTTTTTTTTACATAAGTCAAGAGACTTGGATATGCGAATGAGGAGGAGGAGGGGGGTGGGGGAAGGAATCGTCTGTATCAGTGTGGGCGTTAGGCCCAGCCCCACATCTGTTATGTGTCCAGCACCGTAGCGATGGCTCCATGTTTTCCACTACCGAGGTGCATACAAATGTTAATGGCTCTTTAAAATTTGGAAATGTTGCAGGTTGTAACTTTTGGCTCTTCCGTCTCATAAGGTTGCAACCCCTGGAGTACACAGCTAAGTCTTTTTAATCGTATTGTCGAATTAAAGCACGGGTCAATATTAGCATGACACAACCGACAGACACCTGATGACCATACATAATTACGCCCCCCCCCCCCTCCTCCATCTATACACATATCTTGACTAATGGTAAAAAAAAACAGGCTTTCGGTTAGTATCAACTTAGTTAAATCATATCTCTGTTCTTTTCAACTGAGTTAGAAGACATAATCTATTTACCATTCACTTGATTATGTCAGAATTCAACAGCCTCAGATTAATCAAATACAGATCAGCTGGTAAAAAAAAAAAGTATAAATTTAGCAAACAATTTCGTTGATCTCAGCAATGATGTTTAAGCTGTTTAATTTTTATGTCTTTGAAATCTACATGGAATAAGTAAGATATGTTTGTTTTTTAAATGTATAAAAAGCATTTATTTACTTTTCCATGGCGGGCAAAGTATTTTTAAATAATTTATAAAAAAAAATTAATGTCATTAGTTTATACATCAAATGTATGTATTATTTTTTTTTTATTGGTTTATTTATCTATTGGTCGGTTTTTGTGTCTTTGAGTTGTCTCCCATCCTTTGTTGAAAATAAATACATACGGGAAGTAATTGTGAGATGCTTGTTTAAATTCTAAATCAAAATGAAATATATTTATTTAAGAGCACCAAAACTTATAATAATGCATATAACATTATTACCTGAAGATGAGTTAATGAAGATAGTTGGAAGTTTTCTATGCTAAGTGGATTGTGTTTAAA